GTGACGTAAATAGGACCACTGTGTTGCACTTGACATCCAGAACTTGCTTATCTTGTAAGTGGAAGTCTGTACTTTGCTCATTTCACCCACCACCTACTCCTAACCTCTGACAACTCTATTTCTAGGAGTTGTGCTTTTTTTAGATTCTCTGAGTAAGATGACAGCAATTGTTTTTCTGTCATTTATTTCTCTTACTACAATGCCCTCAAGACGTCATGTTGTGATGAATGGCAGAATTTACTTAACTCTCATATCTATGTCTGTCACTGCCTCTATGTCTATCACCATATCTACTTATATCTACATATCACAACATATCTTTATATCACATTCCCTTTGTCATTCATCTGTGGATACTATTTAGGCTGCAATTAACATGGGAGGTATACATCACAGTTTCTCATTGTGTTGTCCTTCAGTTTGGCTAAATAGACATAGAGGGCCCAAAACTGACAGACACTAGATGCAGCTGTTTTCTGGGCTCAGAGCTCACACATAGATGTGTAGAGCCAATCCACATCATATATGTACCGGCCTGCAGGTAGACACTGTCTGAACTGTGAAAGGCAGAAAACCTCAAATTAAAATCAGATTTCTGACCAGTTCTGCTCAGGGATCTAGAAAGCTAGAGAAGTATAATTCCCACTTTCATATGAACAACAACAGAAAATCCAACACATTGCAAATTGACAACTTTTCTTGTGCCCAGCAGATAGTTGAAGTCATAGGAAAACCAATTAGTCCCAAAAATAAGGCTACCCAGACACCTGCATTAAAATAGGACATGAACAGTTCCTTACCTGGGGCAGCAGTAGAAAGTGAGAAAAGAAGAATTTAGCAAGAAAAGTTAATGATTGGTGCACCTACATCCCCCTGTGGGCTTCTCTAGGGAACACAAAACCAGACCGACTGCTGATGAGGAGGTGGAAGACTGTGAGGCTGATATGTTCCTTGCTTGTGGGACGCACAGTAGTGCAGCCATTTTAAACTGTTTGCCAATTTCTTAGAAGGTTAAACATGCATGTGACACAGCAACTCCACTCCCAGATATCTATCCAAAAGAAATGAAACTCATGAAATGAAATGAAAATGTCCATGGATGCTTATAACTTTATTGACAGTTGCCAAAAGCTGGAGACTACATAGATGTTGTCCATCAACCATTGAAGAGATAAACTATACATCCACTCTCAGCAATAAAAAGGAACAAATTACTATAGATTACATGCCAATAAAAATTTTCTCAAATTCATTTTGTTAAGTGAAAGAAGTTAGACACAGAATGTTACATATTATAGGATTGCAGTTATATGACATTCTAGAAAAAGTGAAACTGGATGAAAATCAGGGTTGTGTTCTATATCATTACTGCAGTGGTGGATATGTTGCTCTATGCAGTTGTCAAAACCTAAAGCACAGGACACTGAAAAGGGCAAATTTTATTAAATCTAAATTAAAAAGAAATCTGGATTTTCCAGGAACCCTATACAACCAATATGTTAAATCAGCAATAATTAACTAGAAATGACTTCAGCGGCCCCTTGTAGACACACTTTCCAGTTCACCACAGGCCTCACCACTCCCTAACATCTCACACCTGCCCATTGCTTTCATGTATGTCACCTGCCAAGCCCCTGCAGGCTTTTCAGTTTGAGACTCTTGCTTATGAAACAGCATAATTACAGCGCTGTTTTCTCCAGTAAAGATTTGAGTTCTACATTGTTTTAGCAATCTTGTCTGCCTCTTCATCCTGGTGAAGTAAAGCCTCTTAGAAATCTCAAAACACCCTCCATACAGCTCTACCATATAGCTCTTCAGGCCCACTGAACTTTCTTTCTGATTAGTTAGAAAGCAATTAATTCCCAGTGTCAGAATTCCAGCTCATTTCAATGGAAGGTAAATGGGGAGTGAGTCATTTCTTGTAGGGAGGTGGAGCTGGCCTCAAGGACTGATAGTACAACCTTGTCAAAATTTACCCCCTTTCATGCATCTTCCTTATATATATTTTACAAATTGTTGTCATCAGTTTAAAGTGCTGTAATACTTCTATTTTGAAAGCAAAAATAGAACAAGTTTAAACATTTATGTAACAATTTCCTCAGGGGGTTAAAAGTAAAGAACAGATGTTTCTCGAAAGCATCAGAACATGCTATATGTATTTTTTTGATTGAGAGTGTGTGTGGAAGTAAGTTTTGCGGGAGGCTAGAAAGGGAATCAAAGAGTCGTCATGGGAGACCACAAGAGAAAACATTTCAGAATCATTATCTGTGTTGAGACATTGCTCTCTTTGAAATATAATAAGAGTCACTAGTGCAACATAATTAACTCACGTCAAGTGCATTGACTGATCTGATCTTGACAATCTGCTCTGAGAAGGAACCATATTAAAGCAATCATTCATACCCTTTGGCTTATTAAAATTAGTGGCCACTGGCCTCATGAGAAACTTTGAAGTGTTCAGTGTTATAAATACCTTCACCATTTGGCAAATTTTAAAATACAAAAGAAACACAACCACACTTCTCTATGTTAAAACACAATCACTTTTAAACACTACACATTTTTTCATGGTGCTCAGAGGATATTTTTAAGAGAGAGAACTGATTTGAACCAAGTCTTTCGTTTCATTTTTATGGTTTCCAGAGATGACTTGTCTAAATAAGTTATGTGTGTGTATTAGTGAGTTAATCTCAGTGGTTTGTGACAGAAAGAGTCTCTCACTCATAGCCTGTAGGTCCCTTGACTGGTCAACCAGGGTAGCTGTACTAGTTCATCTGAGCTGCTGTAACCAAATGCCATGAGTGAGGTCATTTATAAACAGCAAACATTTATTCCTCATAGTTCTCAAGGCTGGACATTCCATTTCCATGATCCCAGCAGATTTAGTGTAGGATGGGACTCTTCTTTCACACCACTCTGCCCTAATACTACAAGACAGACAGACAGCAACCTGATTCTTAAGCACTGGGCCAAAAACTACAAGAGAGGGACACACATTAGCTAACAGGTAGAAAATTACCCCTCTCTGAAAGAAGCAGAGTTGGGATATATTTTTTAATGATTTATTTATTTATGCATACAGAACTTGAGTACAGGCCAGAGGTGCAGGGGCGGTGAGAGTATTCACCATAGAGAGCGGGGAACAGAACAGGCAGATGGATGAAATACACTGCCGAGGGCAGCAGTGGGCAGGTCAGCAGAGGTCTGCTGCGCCATGTGGATCACCTTCGGGTGGTGATCGAACTCATGCTTAAGTGGCTCTAGCTCCCTAGTGCTGTGCTTTAACCCGATGAGCCACCAGGGAGGGCCCACAGCTGGGATATTACTGCTAAGATATAAAAGGGAAGCAGAAAATAGGACAGGTGCCAAGAGAGATGCAAAGAAAATCTAGTGCTCTGGCTGCCTTTCCATGCAAGTCTTATTGGCAGTTGTTTTTCAGGGCAGTGGGGAGAGAAGAGATGACCCCTCTCCCCACAAGGACTTCCTGAAAGGAATAGAAGGCTGTTAATGTGGCAAAGAAGACTTACTACAAATCTCTGAAAAATGTGTGGCTTCCTGGTACCCATACAGTGCTGGGATATATGCGAAGCCACATATTTGGAGATTTGGAGTAGGTGCAAGACCTCATTCTCCTTGAAACCTGGTCCCAGAATAGAACAGAAGGCTGAGAGTCATAGGGAAAGGCTGTCCTGCTGGAGTTCATAGCCAAGACCTCAGACTTCAAGACTCGTTGAAGAGTTCCAGGAGGACAGATGTTGGAATCCTTCCAAAAGGACTCACAACTGGTTTACTTGTTGCTTATGATTCTTAAGAGGAGCTACCTAGGCATGATAGCTACGCAGAGCCTGGAGGGGTTTGCAATAGTGGGATCAACCTTTTCCTAGTCTGTGCAGTCGAGAGTTTCCATCCTCTACTTGAAGGAGACCAGAGGAAGCATGGGACCCTTATCTGAAATCTGTCTGTCTACTCCTTTACTGTTTATCCCCCAAATCAAAACTTGGTCAGATTTCCCTTAAGGCTAATTTTCCTTGATCCAAGAGGCCCCAAGAGGACTGATTTACAATTACAAACAAAAATTGCCATTTAAGAGAAGGCAAAGACATACAAAGTAAATGCAAAGGGAAAAAGAAACACTGTGAATTGTTTATTAATATTAAGTGATATTAATAGCAATATAATATCAATTAAAGTATAGCTGAATGTCAAAAACATTAATGAATGAGGTCTAAATGTCAAAAACATTAATCAATGAGGTCTAAAAGGAGTAAAATATAAGGGAAAAGTTATCAAAGAAGAGCTCTGTATGAATCATAAATATTAATAGGTAAACAATAAAGCAGCCATATATATATATATATATATATATATATATAATATATATATTATATATATTTTCCCCAGAAATGCAAGAACACATTGATGAAAATATTTTTATTTTGGGATATTTTAGTATTATTATTTCAGAATTTAATAGCTCAAGTATACAATGAAGGCAAAGAGGAGCTGAAAATAAAGGAGTTGAAAAATATAATAAATTAGTTACAATTTTTCATTTTTATTCATGGAACACACAAACTAATCATATAGTTGGCATTAAAGGAAACCTTAAGTTTCCCAATGCAGAGACTTTTTTAACTTTCAAACAAAAAAATTTAATATTCTCAAATTATTGGAAAATTAAGAAACCTCTTCCATAATATTCTTGGTTCCAAGAGGAAATAAAAATTGAAGCCACAAATTAAGTATCCAAAAGAGAATAGTTGAAGACCTTATAGCAAAACCTACTGTAAAGCTATAAGGCTATGCTGGGGTGTGGGGAAGGGAAGAATTTATAGACATCTAATTTTATTGTTAAAAACAAACCAAAAAAAATGCACAAACTCATGAATATCAAGCGTATTTGGAACAATTTCCATCTTATTTTTCCTTGATGATTGGGAAAATGGCTCAGCAGGCCCTAATGCTTCCATTGATTTACAGATTTTCTTCATTTTCTGTTTTCATTGTATCCCTCTGTCAATGTCACTGTGAGAGCGAATAAAACGATCAAGAATTTGTCTGTCTGAAAATTATGAAGAAAAACAGAATGAAAACTTCTATTTAACTATTAAAATGCTAACAGAAAAATTCTAGGAGTAGGCACAGATCTGATAATAGTACTCTATATACAAAACCTGGTGAGACCAAAATAACCCAAGAACATTATGCTAATAGCTAGAAGAATCACAACTGTGTGATTATTGTTTAAAGAGATAACTTATGTTCAAGGGATGAGCAAGACTTACCAGAAAGAACATGGATTTTGGAATGAAACACTTAGGTTTCAATTCTGTGCTTGCAAGTATTTGCAAATCATTTAACCTCTCTATTTCTTCATTTCCTCATCTTTGAACAAAGGTAATAATAGTACTTACCTTAGTTGGTTGTTGGATTAGGAATGCTGTGAGCAAAGTACCTGGACACTTCCTCTTTCATAGCAGCCAATCACAATTAATAGTATAACTTTACCTTTTCATTACGGAGTACACAGCAAGAAGCAGTGATAAAATAACAATAGAGACAATTCCCTATATTTCACAGAGACAGAGGCTGTTTTTCCACTCACCACCACTGGTATGGCTTGCAGCCTTTGAGTGATAACTGATGAAATGGAGACCACAGCCTGGTCTCATCTGTGAAATAGAGGAGTCTTGTCTGGTTCTGAACATCTATGTTTCCCTAAGCCCAATTACGTGACTTTTTTTAACAGTACAAGTGGAGCTGCAAAACTTTGCTCACCCTTAACAATTGCCATGCGTGTAGCCAAAACCCAAGGAGTTGCCATGTGGCAAGTGATGCCATCATGTTCAATGTCCACACTGTGATGCTCAGTGTGACAAATGCCAGCTCAGGTCTACAGATCAGGGTGTGTGTGTGTGTGTGTGTGTGTGTGTTGTTTTACTCTCTAAATATGCTGCATGTTTGCATGTATTTGTTTATATGATCTCACATTCAATTTTGAATCACTTTGACAACATTTCAAAAGGGAATATTTTGAGGGACATTTATCATAAAGTGAAATACACTGATCTTACATGCACAATTCAAAAGGTTGACATATAAGTACAGGTCACATCCTTACGGTGATATATATCATTCCCATCAACTCAGAAAGACCCGCTGTGCCACTTTCCAGTCAATACCTTATACTCTAAAATAGCCATTGTTTAGATTTCATTCATCATAGATATAAGAGTTACATCTTGTAGATATTTAAGTGAATGAAGGCATTCTTTGTGTTTGACTTCTTTCGCTCAGCATGTTTTGAGGTTCATACATTTTGTTGAATACATCAATAACTTGTTCTTTTTAATTGACTTATAACTTCTAGTATTTCATGATGTGACTATACCACAGTTTGCATGATGATACACTTTGCATGATGATAGAAATTTGGGTTATGTCCAGTTTGTAGCAATAAACACCTGTATACACATTCTCTTTTTGAATTTATGTTTTCCTTTCTCTTGGGTCAATACCAAGAACTGGAATTTCTAGGTCATGGAGTAGGTATATGTTTAACTTTATCAGAAACTTCCAGATCTGTTTCCAAAGTGATCTTACTACCTGATACTCCTATAGCAACATATTGTTCCATATTGTCAACATTTGGTATTGTCAGTCCTTTACATTAGAGCAAAAAATGTTCCCGTTTTTAAACCTATCCCCCCAAATTAATTTTAAATAAACAAACAAAAAATTCCTCCTAATAATAAGATAAATATAATCATTTGTCATGAGTTAGTAAAAAAGATGAGTGTCAAAATTTTCAATTTAAATACCCATTCCAAAAGGCTGTGAGTGGTAATTCAATGCTACCTTTACTATGAATAGAGGCAGATTTACTGGGATTTTGTTTATATTGTACCTTCTACTTGGGAGTGGCCCTGCTTCTCCTTGTCATGTTGATTAATCCTTGACTCTTAAGGGGAGGGCCCTCCTGGGTCCCTATCAACTGACAGGTGGACCTCTTACGGGTTTCTAATACACTCAAATACTACTTCCATTACAGAGATTATGGCGCTCTAACTACACATCTCCCATATCTGAAAATACATTCCCTGAGATGGGTTTGGATTTTACTTGCCATTATATTAAGAAATGGCCAGATCGCTGTCCCATGTGACCCAGGAAAACAGAAGATCTACAAAGAAACAAAAAGCTAGACTGATCGAGGTGGCCCAAGGTGGACAGAAATTTTATGTGAAAGCTCAGTTTACTCTGAGAATTGTGGAGAAAGATCTGAGTGGAGTAGAGGTTGCCAGAATGCTCTGAGGACTTCTTCAGTTCACCCTCAGGGGACACAGCTAAGGGTTGGTGTAACTGACACACAGACAGAGGCAGAGGGGCCCAGCGGCCACCATGGTTTCCATGCAGACAGAGAAGTGACAGCTCCATCTGCATTGTGAGTCCCTGGGCAGATGGGAGAATCTGCTTTTGGAACACAGAAATACTCATCCTCTAGGGTCACACAGATGTGGTTCCTAAGGGTTAAAAGAGCACCTTACAAAGTGTGGATGATGGTTTCATATATATGAACCCAAACTGGGAAAGAACACACAGCTTCTGCTCTGCCTCCTGGGAAGATCTGACCAGCAGACCTCAGGGAGGCACTTAGTTTCCTTCAGATGTGTCAAACTGGCCCAGAGGCATCTGCTGAGAGGAATGAAGCTCCCAGTGGAAAATACAGACTTCTGCCTCTGCTTAGTGTGAAGCAAAACATCTGCTTCTTATATTCCTTGATTCCCAATATTCAGACTCTTTTAAGTGCCTTCAGACTGTCATTCCTTAGTATCTAACTGTGAAAAATACCCCCCTTCTTCCCCTCCACCACAGGGTGCCCCCCTCCCAGTCTTGCCTACAGTAGGGCTTCAGTCTTGTGTGGAGCAGTATATCCAACAATAAGAGGGTTTCAGTGAAAATTTCAGAGGAGTAAATTCTGATTATGGCTAGAGGAGAGGGGAAAGGGTAGAAATTGACAGGAGACAGGGAGCTTTTAGAGGATTACTGAATAATTGATAGAGGTCCTGAATTTAAGTCTGACCTTGGGTTACTGTGCAAATCAGTAACTTCCCCATAGCCTACAGCTCTAACTGAGGTACCGAAAATGCTCTACTGTGTGCAGGAAGAAATAATGCAATCTCTATTTAGATTTGCTTTATACTTTCTCCTTTAACATTTTCTGTGTTTTTAAATGCACACAATACATTAATTTAGTAGTATGGGAATTCACTTTATATAAAATATCTATCAACATTTGATGGGCATGTGCTTAAAGATGAGGAGTGATAGGCCATGAGGTCGCTCACATTGGGTGCTAAGAAGAGTTTTGTTTCCTCCAACTCATTTTCTGAGTTGGGTTTTTACGCACATTCAGTGAAGCTGAGCATTTATCCCCCAAATGCTCCCACTAGACTCCCATCACCAAACCCTGAACTGGGATGATGTCTTTGTTCTGCAAATGATATTTGTTCTCTTTGAGAATGTGATACAAGAAGATGCTCATGTATTCTAAAAAGCCTGTCACAAAAAAGTACTAAACAGGAAATCAAGATAAAACTAAAACAAAACTATGCAAAAGGACAAACACCCGCTGGAGAAATCAATTAACTTTAAGAAAAAGAGAGTCCTCCTGGAGCAATTCAACTCCAGGCAATGCTAGATGAGAAAGGAATGAAAATCTATGCATTTCCTTTTGTAAGTGGAGATACAGTCATTGGGGCCTCCTTCAAGAAAAATTTATTTTCAATGAAGGTTGAGCTTTGCACAAAGCTATGGGATTTTTCTAAGGCAATATTTTGCATGTGTGAGCATTTAATTGCAGTGCCCAGAAGTTGGAACAATCTTTGTTTGGTGTAAAGCAATGGATTACGACCTGCAGACACATTAAACAGTAACTGAAGACCTCATCTTACCTTTGTAGGAAACACTGTGAAGGTACTCTTGGATTTGAGAGGGAGTGAAAGATTTCAAAATTGTCAAGAAATCCAGATAGGCTTTCCCATAATCACTTTGGTATGTGGTTTGCTTCTTTGTGAGCTCCTCATTCTTCATGTGGCTGAGGAGCACAGAAGGTACTAGAGAAACACAAAATGAGGAAGGGGAGGCTGTTGCTGAGCAAGGAATTCCAACTCTTTATTTTTTGCACATTCCCTGACAACACAGAGTTCAACTTGCAGTTACACCAGCATCCTTCCTGATAGTGGCAGCTGAGGAATTGCACGAAATGCTGGAGCCCACGACTAAGACAGTGCAGAGCTGCTGGGACTCCCAAGTTGCTGCTGGTGGGGGTGGAAATGATTGGAGCGGACGGCCAAAGGTTGCATTTGATCACTGGTCCCAAAAAAGAAGTTTCCAGGCCCTCCCTGGTGGTGCAACAGGTTAAAGTGCAGCATTGTGAAGCTAGCAGCAGCCCTTCAGCTCAAGTTCAATCTTTGGCCTGGGAAGTGACCCACATGGCATGGCAGACCCTCCTGTGTGACCCACAAGGTGTGGCAGACTTCTGTCTACCCGCTGCTCCTCCCAGCAGTGTACTTCATCAATCTGCCTATTCTGCTCCCTACTCTGTTTCTGGTGGATCCTCTCATGTCCCTGCACCTCTGGCCCATACCCCAGCTTTGGATGCATAAATAAATACTAAAAAAAGAAAGAAAGAAGTTCTCCCCAAAAGGGACCCTCTGCAGACCAGCATGTCAGGATGGTAACATTCACAACCACTTAATAAACACCTTCATTGGTGTTTCATTCCTTTTCATGCCATCTCCTGTACAGATGTGGACTGATACACTAAGGCACCGAGTGGCTTAGCACTTTGAATGAAATGTATGGTCAGCATTTACAGCATGTACAGATGTGGACTGATACACTAAGGCACCGAGTGGCTTAGCACTTTGAATGAAATGTATGGTCAGCATTTATTGTTCAGACTAGTAGCAGTATGAGATGCATGCAAAACCAACCATTATATTTATTTCTAAGTGGTCATTTGTCGCAGAATTATCATGAAAACAAAATAATGAAGACAAGGTGTGAGAATTTAGTTTTTACCCCTTGCCCAATCTTTATAAACCTTAAGGTCGCCTTCAGGACTGCTTTTAGTTATAGGTGTCCCCTTTAAATAAACCACTGGCTAGATGGTGGGACTAGGCAGGTGAAGAGACTTGATGTGAAGTCCTGAGAAAATACTGGTAGGGTCTGCAAATGCTAAGTGGAGGAAAAAGACTTAGAATGCATATAATATGGTTTTCTTGAATAACGGATTTATGCAGATTTATTCTGTAGGAAGAAGGAGACCAAATGGCTAGATGTTTAGTGAGGAAGATTCCACTTATTGAGGACTACAACAGTATCTAAGAAAGAAGGAGCTGCCTCTGGAAGGATGCTCTGACAGGACTTGAAGCAGGGATGATATCACCTCTTGGCAAGGATGTGATAGAAAAAATTCACATGTGATAAGAGCATCTAGACAAGGTAACTTCTAGGTTACCTTCTAACCCCAATATCCTAAGCTTCTATTTGGAATTTTTGTCTGAAGTACTATTTGATCCCAACTCTGTGCAAGAATAAGTCACCATCTCGCAAAGAAAACAAATTATCCCCTCAACTAGAATCCTGAAGATAGCTTTGTTATGGACTTTTAAAAGTTCTAGGTACATAAGTGATGGTGCAACTTGGATGGAGCTGGAAAAGATCATGCTTAGTGAGATAAGCCAGAAAGAGAAAGAAAAATACCGGATGGTTTCACTCATAGCAGGAGTAT